CCGTGGGGCCGCCCGGGCGCGTCGCCGCCGCCGGGCGACCTGGAGGACTACGAGGGCTGGACCGTGGGCCGCTTCTCGCAGGAGCACGGCATCCTGACGTGGGCGGCGGGCAAGCGCAAGGGGGCTGTGTCGGGCGCGCCCTCGGACATGGTCGAGGTCGGACAAAAGGTCAAGCTGTGGCCTAACCATGCGTGCATTACGAGCAGCCACTTTGGCTGGTACTTTGTGGTGGACGAGGACCAGCCAGGCAAGGAGGATGAGATTGTGGATGTCTGGACAAAGGCGCGGGGCTGGTAGGATGTGCATTAGCGTATCAGTAGACCATGATAGACGATGCAAAAGAGAGCGTGTTTGCTTTTCTGTATTCAGCAAGCCCTTCTGGTGTTCAATAGTCTACTCCGAGCTCCCCCACGCTGCCAGTCTGTTGGGGGCGCGGGTGAGATTGGGGGTTTCGGACTTGTTTGCCTGGCTTTGCTGTCAGAACATTGCGGGGGTGCAATTAATTTCCACTAGTTTGAGCAAAAGATCAAGTCACGGAAAATGATGATGGAACCAATCAATACCCCAGGAAGACATTTCATCTCAGCTCTGTGAGTGCACTAACTAACTAATGATGGCCTCTCGAAACGTTACGTCCACCAGCCTCTTTTTCGCGTGCGTGCAGGGACAGATCGAGCACGGACCTAAGCGATGTCTCTTCACCCGGCTTGCATCCCTAGCCGAGACTTCGCCCCAACTACAGATTAGGGCTGGCTGACACCCAGACTAATATGTTGGGTGGGAGTGGTGGCGCTCTTCCCTGTCCATGGAAGACTCGGGTGACCCTCCGTCTCGCTCCATCTTACCGATGGACAGGTTGCCTATCTGCATCTAGTTATGTTGTACCATGCGTTGGCAGCTCTTGGACGTGTACTTGAAGAAAACTGCGAGATCCCAAGTAGCAACCACGGCAGTCTATCTCCAACCCTACAGGCGGCACGGTCCTCGACACTCCTCCACACCACTGACAAGTCCATGTCGCAATCAGCCTCCAAACAGTCCTGGGTGTATCCCGGAGGGGGCGTGGGGGTCCCAGCCTAGTGAGCAGCCACGGAGCAACAAGATTCGACAAGCCGACCACGACTGTCCCCCCTCGCAAAAGCAAACAAATACAAAGATGTCATGGACATCCATCATTCATTCGGACAGAAAGTTTTCCGCTGCAACACAGCAGCTGGGTGGACAACATCTGAAACATTGTTGCAGTGTTAGTTGGCCGGGGCTCGGACGTCACCTCCATCCAACAGCGATTCAGTGAGAAAATCACACAAAGAGGAGCGGGGTTAAATTGAATGGCCATGGTTTCTTTGTAGATTTCGTTAGTCTTGGGCGGGACGGAACGATAAAGACGAAAGTGACACTATGTACAACCGCCTCGGGGTCCAGTTCAACTAGTACGTGGAGAGCTCTTTCCACTCTCTCCCCCATTTGGCCGCATTTGCTTCGTCTTTCTTTTTCCTGCCCGGCTCATCTTTTATTTCACGTTCATCATTCGACCCTAAGAGTCTTATTTTCTCAAGTTCAAGTAGAGATTCGCTTCCATCTCACGCAGCCACATTCCGGACCAACTCCTCTAACTACACCACCCAACAGTGTCAGAAGCACAAAAATGTCACCCTCAGTGTTCTCGAGCAACGGCAATGGCGGTACCGCGCGGCCGCTGACCCGGGGCATCTACGTGCCGACCGTGGCCTTCTTCGACGCGGACACGGATGAGCTCGACACCAAGACGACTGGACAACACGCTGTGCGCCTGGCCAAGGCGGGCGTGGCGGGCATCGCCGTGCAAGGCTCCAACGGCGAAGCCGTCCACCTTCTGCACGAGGAGCGCAACGCGGTGACGCGGGCCACCCGTCAGGCGCTCGATGCCGCGGGCTTCGCGGCGCTTCCGCTCATCGTGGGATGTGGCGCCCAGTCGACATATGAGGCCATCAAGCTGTGTGCCGACGCCGCGGCCGCCGGCGGCGACTACGCGCTGATCCTGCCGCCCAGCTACTACGATGGGCTCTTTGACGGCTCGGCCACCGTTTTGAGCTTCTTCACGGCTGTAGCCGACGCCTCGCCCATACCGGTCCTCATCTACAACTACCCCGGCGCCACACCGGGCATCGACCTGTGCTCCGACACGCTGGGCGCGCTCGCGCGGCACCCCAACATTGCCGGCTGCAAGTTTACCTGCGGCAACACGGGCAAGTTGGGCCGCGTGGCGGCAGCAGCGCGGGTAGCGGGCGACGCATTTGTGTGCTTTTCCGGCTCGGCCGACTTTACTCTGCCGGCACTGGCAGCGGGCGGTGCGGGCGTCATTGGAGGCCTCGGCAACGTGGCCCCGCGCACGTGCGTGCGCGTCTTTGATGTCGCCGAGAAGGAGGGCGTTCTGTCACCGGAGGCGACGCGCCTGCAGGAGATTGTTGGCCGGGGCGACTGGGTGGCCATCCAGACGGGTGTCGTGGGCGTCAAGGTGGCGCTCAACGAGTATGCAGGATACGGTGGTTTCTCCCGCAAGCCGCTGCCTCGACCAGACGCGGCCAAGACGAAGAAGATTGTCGAAGGGCTCAAGGAGCTGATGGAGCTGGAAAATTCGTTGCAAGATAAAGCGTAATGCTTATGTGGATTGATGTTGTCGTGTTGCACTTGTTTCCATCTTCCCCCATCATAATGAACACGGGATCGGGGGACAGCAGTTGCAGAGGCGGTTCGGTACAAGATACAGGATAAATATACAGGACAAATATACGTCGAGGTTCTACTGTTTATTAGAGTACTGAGCATCACTGTTGCATGCACACGACTGGGCACTGGCGAGTGACTACTAAACATGCGATTCAGACGAGTTAGTTGTGTCTGTATTGATATATTGATGCCATTTTGGTGGCTATTTGGGTGTTTTTAGAGTTCGAAAATTCCGCATTTACAAAACAGCGGTACACTCAATTTCAACATCTGTGTTGAGGGGTAGAGTCTTGACAGCAACGCAGCTGCAAGGATGATTAGAGCTGGCGGCGCGGTTACTGGCAGGCCGGGTACTTACGTGCGGCAGGGCTTGACGTCGCCCCAGTAGGTCATGTAAACCTCGTTCATCTTGGCAAAGTCGTCCATGCTGGCGAGGAAGACGTTGACCTTGACGACGTTTTCGATTGTGGTGCCGGCGGCCTCGAGGATGGCCTTGAGGTTCTTGATGCATTGGTGCTGAGGGGAGGCGGGACGTCAGCTGGCCGGGCTGTATGCACTTGGCTGCAGGTCATAGTGATTGACTTACAGTGTGAGCCTGAATGTCGCCAGGAATCAGCTGCAGCGTCTCGGGGTCCATGGGGACGGCGCCAGAGACAAAGACCAGGCCGCCGGCCTTGATGGCCTGGCTGTAGATGCCGGGGAGCGGCTTCGGGGCCTTGTCAGTGAGGACAGCTTCCTTGACTGGTGCCATTGTGAGAGGTATGGTAGTGATGGAAAGGGGAAAGGGTGGTTGAGAGAATGAGGAGACGGTTTTAGGATGAGGGGGTTAGAAGATTTGCACGAATATGAGAAATGTATTTGGTAGGGCGTGGCAGACAACTTTTTCTTGTCATATTGACTGGCATCCCACCTTGAGTCCAGTGTCCCCCTCTTTGCCCCCGCACCGTCTTTAGAAACTTGCAGCGGGTTACAGCGGGTTACAGCGGGCTGGGAGGTATTGACCCCGCACCGCGACCGCTGAGGTGCCCTGGAAACCAGGTACCTAGGTACCTAGGTAGGTACCTGGGCTTGATGACCAGGGACAATTTCGGGGCCAGCTTCATAACAGCAAACGCAAGATTCCTCCATCATCACCACCACCACCACCATCACCACCACCATTATCGTCATAATGGCGTCTACAAATGACACTTCAGCCACTCGGCCAACGCCGCTGCTTCTACCATCGTCCAACATGACCCCCATGCAATTACGAGCCGTCGCTGACCCCCACGTTCCCCAATCATGATGGCGATGGTCTGGCCCTTTCTGACCTCCCTAGACAGGAAGCGCTTGCACGCTTGCGGCGTCACCACCTAGCACCATTTCATTGCACCAGACAAGGAACAGCCTGTGGAGAATCTCGAGTCGCCGAACCGACCACCACACCACCATGATGCAGGTCACCCATGTGGGCTGGAGTGAGGCTGGATTCGGGAAGAACAGCATACAAGTGCCGGTCTTTTCGCCCGCCACCATGCAGGCGGCCTTATTGCTGAAATTCCGGGGTAGTCTGGGGCTGGCACCAGGGGAAACACAGAGGTTGAAGGATCAATGAATCCGAGCTCGTGAAATTATATTTTCAATCGTTGGCATGGTTGTTCGGTCGCTTTCCGTGGCTCCTTGGTTCCACAGTCCAGTTGTCGATGCTCTGGTTATGCATCTTCCGACGGCCGGCCCCTCGCTCAGTCCGCCGCCGCCCACTTGCAGATTGTCGACTCCTACTATGTATCCATCGTTATCGTGGCGCTCGTCTTCCCTTGCACCGCAACGGACCGCACTCGTCATTCCTTAGGCCCAGCGTTTGCTCGAGTGCTTCCACTAACAATTCGTCCATGCCTCGTTGGCTCGCGCAGCCTCAATTCGGCCTTCCTCCTTCGCGCCGCCCTAGGGGCAATTCCGACTTTAAAAAGCAACCATCCCGCCCTCGTTTCATTTGGGGAAAACCAGGCCACCACCAACCTCCGGCGGTTACATCCGCCTTGAGCCATATTTTAGCGCAACGCCGCTGTCCTGCTAACCTTAGCTATTCGCTCGCCCTGCCCGGTGCTTCAGGTCCCATCTTGCTCTCCGTGTTGCAGAGTTTAAAAGGGTGGCTACCGACCACCCCAGATTCTAGAACAAGTGGTCCCTTATCTCGTCAGTGCTTCTGATAGCCCTGCACCCGTGGCGTTAATGCGCATTACCTATCAAGCTTCCTTATCGCGACCGCACTATACAGTTGCTCCCTGTACCGGTTTATAAGACCCGGTGAGTAGTGCAGCACTCGACGCACTCAACCCAGACAACCTCATCCCTCAACGCTTCTTCACTGCGCAGCCATCATGAAGCCCGACTATCCTCCGGACGTGGAGGCGTCCAGCACCAAAGACAACAACATGGCTCATAGGACAGTTTCCCAGGAGGAGAACCCAAAGGACTTTGTCGCCATGGAGGACATCGCCCGAGTCGTCGACCATGCCGCTGAGAAGAGCTTAGCTCTCAAGTTTGACTTTCGTATCTTGCCAGTTCTTGCCATCATGTGTAAGTCGGATTCTGTCTTTTGTATTGACAGCTGGCTAACATTATACCCCAGATCTTTTCAATGCCCTTGATAAAGGCAATATTGGCAACGCTCAAACCAAAGGCCTCAGCAAAGGTATGTATCAAGCTTGGTTCCATCAAACCGATAAAACACTAACAATGCTCCTTCCCAGACCTTCACTTCAAGGACGGCCAATACAACCTCATCGTCTCCATCTTCTTCGTTCCCTACGTCATCTTTGCCCCTCCCTTCGCTATGCTCGGCAAGAAATACGGTCCATCTCGCGCCCTGCCTGTAATGATGTTTTGCTTCGGCTCAATGACACTTCTCACGGCAGCCGCCCAAAACTTTGGCGGCATCTTTGCTCTTCGCTGGTTCCTCGGAATGGCCGAGGCCGCATTCTTTCCCACCGTCATCTACTACCTCACCACCTTTTACCGCCGTGGCGAGCTTGCCAGACGATTAGCCATCTTTTATGCCGCCTCCAACATTGCCAACGCCTTTAGCGGTCTGCTGGCCTTTGGCGTCTTCCATATCAAGGATAGCAAGATTCTGGCCTGGCGCTATCTCTTCCTCATCGAAGGTAGCATCACCGTTCTATTTTCCTTCTTCGCCTTTTGGTACCTACCTAGGAACGCCAGCGAGGCCAAGTTCCTGACCCGGGAAGAAAAGGACCTCGCTTTCCATCGTATCCAAGTCGACTCCTCCGCCGTCGTCGATGAAAAGTTCAACCTCAAAGAAGCCTTGAAGATTTTCACATACCCCTCGACATTCTGCTTCCTCGGCATCGAAATCTGCTTGGGTGTGCCTCTTCAGTCCGTTTCTCTGTTTCTGCCCCAGATTATTCAGCGTCTGAAGTTCGACACGATCAAGACCAACCTCTACACTGTGGCCCCCAACGTCACCGGTGCCGTCATGCTACTGCTTCTAGCCTTTGCCTCTGATTTGACGCGTCTGCGTTTCCCCTTTATCGTTCTCGGCTTCGCTTTTACCTTTACTGGCTTCATCATCTATGCCGCCATTGATGATGTCGAGAAGCAGTTGCATCTGGCTTATTTTGCCACATTTATGATGTGTTGGGGAACATCGGCGCCATCCGTCCTTCTCTCGACTTGGTACAACAACAACGTGGCCCACGAAGGTCGGCGCATCACGTTGACCGCTGTCGGCGTGCCTCTGGCCAACCTCATGGGCCTCGTATCGAGCAACATTTTCCGACTAAAGGACGCTCCCAAGTACAAGCCGGCGCTCATCACCACTGCTGCCTTCGGCGCCACTGGCGTGATCCTCACTGCCTGCCTGGGCGCGTACATGATTTTTGACAATGCTCGACGAAATCGCAAGGCGGGCAGGAAGACTGACGCTCGCGACGTTCCCACGCACCGGTTGCGGGACGGCCCCAGCACGGCAGAGTTTCGATGGTTCCTTTGAATGAATTCTTGGATAGCCCATGTTTTTGAATATATTTGCGCAATCATGTCCCTCTCACTGATATCTCTGCCCCGTGGCCCGCCCTGTTCTATGTGCTGCTATTTTACAAGAAGGTGATTTTCGACAATGTTTAATACATACTATACACAACGTTCCCATGTCCCGCTGTTGTTTACTGGTCATCATCTGCCGCGACGGCAGGGCCTTGCGCACCATACCACCAGCGCCAGATGGCCTTGCAATAAAACCACGTCTCCATGGTGCCAAAGATGCTCAGCACCACGATGAGAAACACCTTCATGTTCCTGCCGATGCCTAGCCCGTCGAGGCTGAACTTGGGTAGCTCCGGGTTTCCGCTCTCGGCCTCCTCGCCTGCCGCCCCTGTTCTTTTCAACGGCTGCTGCTGTGCTGCGGAGACGGTGCTGGCCGAGACCGTCTTCCTCGTCGTATCACCCCCTGGGCGGCAGCGGTGGGCGACGGTAATGGACAAGAGGGCGCGCTGCGCCGCGGGGTACTTGTCGCGTGGCCGCATGGTGTTGCGCATGACAAGCTGCAGGGACTGTGCTGGTCTTCCCCGCATTGTGGCTTGCGAATTAGTTTCTTTTTGGAGCAATAGCGATAAATGAGTTCTGAATTTTCTTGGAAGAGCGCGAGTGCGGATGAGTTGGGAAGTTTGATGAAACCGTTGGCGAGGCTGAATGAAGCTTAGGTTGTGGTCGTCGCGGCCCGAACTTGAGTAGGCACTGTGCCGAGTTCTCGCCGGTTCATTTTCGTTTATTGCGGAGGGCAAATGCCGTGGTCACACTCTGGCATTGTAATATCGAATTGAAGGGGGAAAAAAGCATTAAAAGTTGTCTATATAATCAAATTGGTATTATGTATATTTAATTGCAAGCCATATCTCTCCTCTAGACTGTAATCATGTCGCTTACCTCCATCCCCGGCCGCCCGTAATGTCATCTGCCTGTAAAAACAGGCCCAGCTCGCTAATCTTATCGTCGGCCTCCCAATGGCCATTCATCAAATTCGTAAAATACTGATCGTCAAAGATGATGTCCGGGACGTTTCCGGCCGCCGCTCCCGGAAACGTCATCATGGGCGTCTGCAGCAACATCTGCTGCTGCTGCTGCTGCTGGTGCTGCTGCTGTTGCTGCTGCTGCTGTTGCGGCGGCGGCGACTGCGACTGCGCCATTGTCGCCACCGGCGCCGACTGCCAGGGCACGGCGGCGCTCAGAGAAAACGACGCCGGCGGCAGCGACGTCTGCGCCGGGGCCGGCTCACTGTGCTGGTGGTGAGTAGTGGTACCGGTCACGGCGGCGGCAGCGGCGGCGGCGGAGAGGCCGTTGCCGGCGTAGAGCTGCTTGGCGTGCAGGCGGTCAGCGATGGAGGCGTCGAGGTACTGGAAGAAGATGTCGAGGACGTTGTTGTTGATGCGCCAGTACTTTTGAATCTCCTTGAGGCAGATGAGGCACATTTGCGCGCGGTTCTCCGCGATCCGCCGGTTGACGCCCGTGTCTCGCCGGATGCTGATGACGTGGATGCACAGCGAGGTGAAGAGGCTCGTGATCCTGTAGAGGCGGTTGTTAGCTATTGGACGGATGAAGAGGGGGGGTTTGCGTACATGTGCATCTGGCCACAGCCGAGTATGCCGCGCGTGTACATGTCCTCGGCGATTCGACTGATGCGGCACGCAGAGGCCGTGACAATCATGCTGCTCTCCGTCTTGTCGTTGGAGTGGAGATAGCTGTTTCGGTGGATGAGGATCCGGAGGTGGCTGCGTTCAAATAGTGTCAATGTTGATTGTTGCAGCAGCTGCTGGGCATTCGGGTACGTTACTTGTAGGCCAGGTGCAAGAGGCACGCCCAGACCGACGTGTTTGTCTCGTCGGACAGGAAGCGCATGCTTTGCGGCAGGCTGTCCTTCCACGCCTCGAGCGCATTGTCAAGGCTCTCCACGTCTTTGGCCTTGGAGCCGGTGCGGCCCGGAACAAAGTGCAAGTCGATGATGCGACCGACTGGGTGAGCCCGTTAGCAAATTTTTTGTTCCTTCTCGCCATGGCCTACCTGCTTCGGACAAGAAGGTCACATACTGAGTCTTGAAACTTCAACCATTTTGATGGCGTAGGTGATGTGCTCGGGCTTGGTCGGCGCGAGAATCGGGTGTTCGAGGTCAACGTCGGGGGCCTCGAGGTCCGCCGCTGTCAGCGTCTCAATGTCGCAGTCCTCGTCTCTGATGCGGCTGGGCAAGCCGAGCGATGCTGCCGACTGTCGTTCGCGGACCTGATGGGTTGTCAGCAAGTTTACGCTATTTCCAACCACCGCTGTCAAGTTTTCGTGCGGCGCGTACATAGATGGACCACCAGATCCTCCTGCGCATCGTCGGCGTTTCTACCGTTTTTGAGACGGAGCAGGAGCTGCAAGCATTTTTGTCAGTCGGCAACGCTTTCTGTAGAATATTTGCCAGTATACGCACGATCGGTGAAGGCCAATAGACTCTGACAAGGTAATGACGTTTCCCAGCCAATACCGCACGTCGCGCACGTCGGCCGGTCCGTTTCGCTGAAAGCTCATCAGAAACAAGGACTGGATCAGGGTGATTTCGTCCCTCTCCCAGTCGGCGTCAAACAGCAACTTGGCGCGCGTGTAAAACAGCGTCTTGGCCTGGAAGCGGTCGCTCAGCCCCATGTCGGCAATCGCGGCGTCCTCGCAGTACGTGGACCCGACGAGCAGCATCGCGTACATGAGCACCTTGGGCACGCGGTTCTCCGTGAAGCGCCGCGCAATGTCGGCCGCGTCCACGACGGGGAAGCACGGGTGGAACCAGGTGAAGAAGGCCCGGAGCGCGGGCGCGCACTGCGCGTTGGTCGGCAGGTCGAAGACGCCCTCGTCCTGCAGGTACCGCAGCGTGGACGCCTTGAGGCCCGCGCCCTCGGCCGGCGCCGGGTTCGGCCGCTTCGCCGGCAGGTGGAAGGTGTACCGTCGCTGCGACTGGTCCCCGCCGCTGCCGCCGTCACCGCCGCCGCTACCGCCGCCGGACTGGTTGGCGCTCGTGCCGTCGTCGTCGTCGCGCCGCCCCCCGGAGACAATGGTGAGAAAGTTGGACTCGCCAAAGAAGCGCGCGCCCGAGGCCTTGGCGGAGGAGGCCGGCGTCGGCGACGTGGGGGGGCTGATCTCGCGCGCTGCCGTCTGCTTCCGCGTGCGGTAGCTGTGTCCGCCGCCGTTGCCGAACGGCGGCGGAGGAGGTACGGAGGAGGTTGACGGAGCCTGAGACGGCGACTGGGTTGCGTGGGCCTCTTGCCGAACCTGGTCCTCCGGATCCGTGCTTTCCGCGGTGACGGACGCCGAGGCGCCGTGCCGGCTCTGTCGCGTCCTGGGTCCTTTATGCCGTGGCTTGCGAGGATATCTACCATTGGCAAGGCTGGTATTAGCGGCAAGCCCCCATTCAAGGGCCAATACATTACAGGATCAAGTAATCTTCTACCAATGCTTGCTTGCGGTTCGGAATTACAACGTTGGGGGGGAGCGGACATACCTCCCTCGCCGCGACGGCACCACCTCACAGGCGACCCCGGCATCGGCGCAGTTTGAGCACGGTTGTACCTCCATCACATCGCAGCGCACGCGGCGCGAGTTGCAAACGGTGCAGGCATGTTTCGCGCGCGCCTTTTTGGCCGACGACGCGGCGTCGGTCGCCGACGGCGACGGCGACGTCAAGTGTGAGCTCATGCGTGGGGGAATTGAAACTCGTTTCGCCAGCCCGCTTCCTTTTTATAATTTTGGTCGGCACTCTGTTTGGCGGCAAGATATTTGTTGATGGGTGTGTGTGTGTAGGAGTCAAGTAACCGAGGTCGAGATGCCGACGAGGCGGCCCACCAAAATGGCGGCTTCTACGCTCCGTTGTCGCAAGCCTTGGCTCGACGTCGGCAATTACGTGACGCTTGACCACGACAGGTTTCCCTCTTCGGAATGATGTAGTATGACTCACTATCTACTCTACAGTCCTTTCTAATAGCTTCTGGGCAAGCGCAGCACTTTTTCGCTTATGTAGTTGAGAATCATCTCGCGGCTGACGGGCGCGATGCGCGGCACCAGAGACTCCCTGAACCAGCGCTCGACGTCGTACTCTTGGGCGTAGCCCATGCCGCCGTGCGCCAGGACGGCGCGCTCGCACGCCGTAAAGGCGGCCTCGGCGGCCAGGTACTTTGCGCTGTTGGCCGCGACGCCGACGGCGTCCTGGCGGATGGCCGGGTCGTCGGTGCGGCTCGCGTCGTACAGGCGGGCGGCGTGGTACGTGGCCAGCTTGGCGGCCTCGAGCCGCATGTAGGCGTCGGCGAGCGGGTGCGCGACGGCCTGGTTCGCGCCAATGGGGCGCTGGAAGACGACGCGGGACGCGGCGTACGCGGCGGCGCGGCCGAGCGCGGCGTACCCGAGGCCGAGCGCCTCGCCGGCGAGCAGGCAGCGCTCGGCATTCATGCCGTGCAGGATCATGCGGAAGCCGGCACCCTCCTCGCCGACGAGGCTCGACGCGGGCACGGCGTAGTCGTCGAAGAAGACCTCGTTGGCGTCGACGGCGCGGCCGCCCATCTTCCGGATCGGGCGCAGCGAGAGACCGGTCGCCGCGCTGTCGAGCGGGATGCAGAAGAGGGAGAGGCCCCGCGCTCGGGTGCGCGTCGTCGCGGGGCGCCGTGCGCGCGAGCAGGATCATGCGCGCGGCGACCTGCGCGCAGGTGATCCAGATCTTCTGCCCGGTGATGCGATATTCGCCGCCGTTGGCCGTCCTGGTGGCGCGCGTCGACAGCCGCAGCGTGTCCAGCCCGGCGTCGGGCTCCGTCACGCCGAAGCAGGCGCGCCACCGGCCGGCGATGATGTTGGGCACCGTCTCCTGCAGCTGCGCCGGGGAGCCGAACCGCGCGAGCGGCTGCGTGGCGTAGACGTTGGCGTGGATGGCCTGCGCGCCCGCCATGCCCGTGCCCGACTCGGCAATCGTCTGCATCATCATGGTGGCTTCCGCCATGCCCAGACCGGCGCCGCCGAGCGACTCGGGCAGCGCGATGCCCAGCCAGCCGGCTTCGGCCACGGCGGCGTGGAACTCTTTGGGGTCCTGCTCGGTCCGGTCCTTTTCCTGCCAGTACGTGTTGGGGAAGTTGGCGCAGATTTTGGAGATGGCCTCGCGGACCATGAGCTGGTTTTCTGTAAAGCCCGTCGTCTCCATGATTTGCATCACCCTGGTGGTAGACAGTCGCCGCCGGGGCTCAGATGAAGGTCCGATGTGTGGCTGGGCTGCAGATCGCTGCTGAGCACGACCGGTCGCCCATTGACGCCCAAGAGTTCTTGACGATCTCAACATTGTAGATAGAGAAGAAAATGGGGTTTTCATTTTGTCGAGGGGGCAGCCTGCTTGAAAAGGTGTTGTGTACATATTTATTACCCCAGCTTCCGACCAGTCTGGGGTAATGACGCTGGCCAAATACCCGGCCGGTTTCTTGGCAGCGCTAGTCGCAGAGAAGCCGAAGCAAAGGCTCACTGGTCACAGTTACAGAAGTAAACACAATATTTTGTACACCAGCACAACAGCTCAACACTCACTACAATACATCAACATTTTCTATCGTTTTAAGTCATAAACTTTAACATATATATCTAATTATATTTATCTTTCTAGTCGTATTTATCTTTCTTATCATATTTATCTTTCTAGTCGTATTTATCTTTCTTATAGGTGAATAGAATCTAGGCTATAATAAACTTACGTCCCGAGACGGTTCTGGCTCTCTTTCTTTTTATAAAGCTAAAATAGTATCGAATTTCTAAGCATTGGTGTTGATATAATAGAGCGAGAAAAGAAAAAAAAAGCGGCCTTGCGCTATTCATTGGTGGAATCGGAAGCAGCAGCATCGTATCGCTCTCGAGCGTGGCATCATAGAAAGGCAACGCGGTTCGATTTTATATACTCAGTTTGTACACAGAGAAAAATCCTCCAACCCAGCAGTCGGAACACTCTGTTTCGGTAAACACAACGGAATGTTCTCGCCCTTCAAGTCGTGGAATACCCGGGAATACTCGCGCTGAATGCCACATTAGTGTTTTTTGCCTCGCGCAAGACTTTTGTGTAAACGTACAGTGGCAATGGAGATGAAATCGTCGTAAATTCCATCCATCTTCATCTTTCTGCGGACCAGGTCCCCTACTCCGCCTAGCAGACTCACAACCGTGGTGATTTTGCTGTCCCAGGTAACTAGCGCCGACACAAGCTTGCCATCCACTCTGGTTGACTCTGTGCTGCCATAGGGGTCTAAGAAATTAGCAACATTTCCTGTTTAAAGTGACAGTATGGACATACTTTGCATCTTTTTCCCCTGGAGCATGTTCCACCACCAAGCAAGACCGACCGCCTTGTCAAGCATAATGGTGGGCCACGCACCGTAGGGTGTAATCACGTCGTGCTCTTGCGCTTTCTGGCTGGCAACGGAAACAATTCCAGCAGGCGAAATATATCCAGTGATTTCGTCGGTGCTTGGATCGGTCGAATTGTTGACCGAGGCGAAGAGACCTGGGACTTTGGTGACTACGGAATTACAAGTTCGGACTCGCTCGGCGTTATGGTGTAAGCGCCTCGAACAACGTCAGCCAAGGGTATCAATATTTCGCTGCGCAACGTACCGGATAATGTCCACGTCGTAGTACGGAAGCTCCAAAACTTTCCATGGCTCGTGAGCCGAGAACCAATACCCTACTCGTGTCAGCTCCTGCAATGTTCCTCCGCACCGTGAAACGTACCCTGCTCAACAGTGATTGGCCCTACACCACCCATAGAATACTCAACGCTGACCAATTTCGCACGCTTGGCTACCCAAAGCTTCTCCTTTTCTGCTTTGGACAATGCGCTGAAGAATTCGACAAAGTACGTCAAGAGCTCCCCTTCGTATGGGTCGTCCAAGTACGCAGGGCTCTCACACGTGTACGACTGTTGAGCGTCGTCGACGGGCAGCGTCTGGTTACCGATCTTGGTCACGGCGCAGACATGGCCGTCGCCCTGGTAAAAGACCTTGTTGACTGTGGTTTTGGCGTAGTCGAACCACGTTTGCCATGCAGCAGCCAGCTGACGATCGGAAGCCCTGCAGCTTTTTTCGAGAGCGCTGATGCAGCCATACACGGCCCAGAGTAATTCACTGTTGTGTGAGGTTAGTTATTCGAATTTTTGTCGTTCGCACAGAATGCTTTACCCATTGTCTAGACCAGGCACTCGATTGACCCAGTCCCACGTTGGTTCAATCTCCTGGGAGCTCGTCGTCATCCACGGAAGAAAGCCTCCAAATCCGGGGTATGTGGCGTTGAATTGCAGGTACGTCTTTAGCTTCGTCTCCATAATGGAGGCGGCCATCTTGGGGGCTTTTTTCGGGTCGGCGGGGGAGAGGAACCGAGATGCTTTCGAGGACCCGGCAATGGCGTGGGCATACACCATGATCTGGAGCGCCTGTTTTCAATCATCAGCATTGTCGGTAACTTGCGACGGCTCTCTCATTGCATCTTGACCTCCTTGCTCGCAGCGCTAAATGGGTGTTTCTTGGTGCCTTGTCCGGTGACCCAGTCCAGCTGCGTCCCGTCGTACGTCATGCCATTGTCGGCATTGTAGGAGACATTGTTTTGGTGGAATTGCCCCTCCCAGTACAAGAGATGCCATTCGAACTGATCCGGACGCTGGACAACGTCGTCTTGGGTCCAGTCTAGTGCAAACCGACACGATGGTGGGGATGGCGACGGCGCAGCCAGCGTGGACACGACGAGCCCCGACCACAGCAGACATAATGAGGCAGTCTGCATATTCAGCTACAATGCGCAGTGGTCCGTGATGCTGGGATTGATTCCTGTCTAGGAGACTCGTGTGCAGAGCTCGCTTACTGCCGTCCGCAGACCGCGGGCCTGGGGTCCTTTTTATGTCATTGCGGTTGCTGGAGGCGGCTTCATTCCGCAGGGCCAATATTGCAAGTGAAAATACCGAAAATACCACCCATCACGCATCCAACTAGGCTGTTTCCATCCAGCTGATGAGGTGACTGTGGAGCAGAGGGGGCGGAGAAACAAAATGTGCGCCCTTTTATCCTGTTGTCAGCCCCAGAGAGAGAGAGAGCTTTTTCCTTGGACGACGCCCTGCTTACCTGCTCACACGCGGTTAGACGTTAGCCAGCTACTCCGAAGCGGAAGTCGAGCCCGCTTCCCGAAAAACGCCAGAGTATATCTTGGACACGGCACCCCCCGATTCCTTCGTCTTTGGTGCCTTGTTTTTTTTTCGCGTCGCAAAGAGCAATTTCGCCGTCATGTCTGGAAAATGGCTGAATCTGTGGCTTCCGCCTCGGACGTAGTGGTCAAGGAGCGAAGGCAGCTCGGCGCTAGAGCCTGTGACCGATGCCGTCGGAGAAAATGCAAGGTACAAACAAAAACGCCCGCTGTAATTCTCCGAAAGCCCTCTGACCAAAAATCTCCAGTGCCATCTTCTGCTGTCCGGTAACTGTGCGCAATGTCTCGCAGCGAGGGCAGCCTGTACCTTTGATCTTCCAACAGCTCGGAGGGGTCCCAAGACCAAGAAGAAAGCCACCGCCGACGGTAATACGCCGAGCTTTTCGGACATTCCGCCTCTGCGATTCGATCAGCATTCGCCGACTGGCCGCCTCAGTTTCGGCACGTCAACGACACAGCAGCCATGGAGTGCCTCGAGCGCCACGGCCCTTGATGCCAACCTGCTGCCTCGCAGCATCACAAGTCCCCCAGACAGCGCAGAGGTGCCCGTCCTCGCGCGATGGACACGTCTGGTCGACCAAGTCACGGCCCGCGGCCTGCACTTTGAAGCCGTCGTGAACCAGTGCATAGACCTCTTCTTCGAGTATCTGTATCCTCTGACGCCTCTTGTCCACGAACCCAGCCTCCGGGACAACCTGGCCTACTTTGTCCCCTCGGACCGCGCGCCACACCTGGAAACGTGCGCCGAGGCCGCCTTTACCCTCATCACCGCCGTCTGCGCCGAGGCCGCCTTCCTGCTGCCCGCCGATATTTTCCCGAGCGGCGACGCCGTGGCCTCGGTCTTCCTGCACGCCTCGCGGGGCTGCCTGGCCGACTACATGGAGGCGGACCTCGAGAGCCCCAGCGCGAGCTCCATCACCATTCGCTACTTCCACTCCAACTGCGTCCATGCCGCGGGCAAGCCCAAGTTTTCGTGGCACATTTTCGGCGAGGCTACGCGTCTGGCGCAGGTCATGCGCCTGCACGACGAGACGAGCTACGAGGGCCTGTATCCGGTCGAGGCCGAGATGCGCCGCCGCGTGTTCTGGATCGTCTACATGGGCGACAAGTCGGCCGCCATTCTCAACAACAGGCCAATCACCATGCACAAGTACTCGTTTGAGTGCGGCGTCACGGCCACGTACCCGACCGGCATCGAGGAGGAGTCGCAAACGCCCGTGTCTCCCAACAGCGTGCACTCAAGTGAGCCCGCCTCGACTAAGCGGCAGAAGCTCATACTCGGCTTCAACGCCAATATCCGGCTGTGGAGTGCGGCATCGGACCTGCTGCTCGCCCTTCGCGTCATTCAAGATCAGGCAAAGACGTCACAGGACGGCGGCCTCGCAAACACCCTGAGCCCACCGCAACGCGAAATCATTGACCCCCTGTACATTGCCTTCATCACAAGCCTGGATGATCTGCCATCCTTCTTAAAATCGCACTCTTTTGCACCCCCCACTTCAAAGTCTGAGACGTCGCAGTCGAATCAGTTCACGATACAGTGTGCGAATCTTCAAGTGTCCATGCACTGCTTGCGCATGGTCGTTGTGCAAAAGTTTGAGCACCTGTCCTATCTGACTGCCGGCATGGAGCAGACTGATCTGCAAAAGACGGACATTGTCCGAGATGCGCTGCGGGTCATACATGAAGTTCCATTCTGGGCTCTGCAGCTAAACGGAGAACCCTATGTACGTCTTGTCCAGTTGTTTTCTTCGCCGTCGTTACCTTCTAATCGATTCCACAGGTAGAAAAGCTTCGCTTAATTGGCGCTAGTTTGATGGCCATCATTCACCGAAATCCAAATTCCCCCATTGCGGCACGTGCGCGCGGAGACTTTGATGTATTGCTGGATATCTTGACACGGCTAGATTCAAAGGCATCTGACGCGCTGCGCAACCATTCTTCGTGGATATTATAATGGCTATCTTTTGTCTTGTATATACCATGTGTTCAATCTATACCAAGTATCTGTCATTTGCCAGGCGGCGACTGCTGTCGTTCCGCAATAAGTTCCTGGAGAAGAAGCGCTGATTTCTTGGGCGTCCGCTCCAACGTCTCATAGTCTGTGTATGTCACGCCAAATCGAGGGCCAAAGCCGTCTGACCATTCTATTTCAAGTCAGCCATCTGAAGAAAAAATACAAAGAAAATCAGTACCACGGAATTTCTTACCCAAGTTGTCCATTAGGGACCAAGCGAAATAACCACTGATGACGGCGCCATCCTGTCTCGACTTGCCAATCGCATCGAGGTGGTCCTTGAAATACTGCAGTCGAAACGGGTCGTTGACCGACTCTTCCTTGGTCATTTGATCCTCGCCCGGGCAAGGGCATCCGTTCTCCGTAATGTAGATGGGCTTCTTATACAGTCGGTAAACTCTGGTGAGATGCTTGCGAAACAGGTCCGGGCATGAGCGAAGCCAGTGCACGCCGCTCTCTGCACCGACAGACTCGCCTTGCTTGTTGCTCTGGAGCTCTTGCACGTTCCCCAAAACATCCGTTTCAGGCGCCTCTTGGGCTCTGTGCCGCGCGAACTGGGACGTGTAGTAGTTCATTCCGTAAAAGTCGGTTTCAGCAGCCGCCAGCGTCGCAAAGTCCTCCTCGGAAAAGGCAGGCAAGCGGTTTCCCAGCTGCTTGCGCATTGAATCGGGGTAGTCTTTTGCCAAGCTAGCCAGAACCATTAGTTGCCGACTTGAGCTTGAAACTTTTCCTCGTCCACTTACAAGATGGGATTCGCAAACCACCCAATGTGGAATTCCATGCGACGCTCGGCTGCTTCGGTATCCTGGCTGCTTGCTGCATCCCACGGCTCGTAGTAGTCACCGTTTAGTGAGATACCAATCGTCCCTCGCTGACGTTGGCGGAAGTCTTGGTTGTAGGCAACGACAGCACGCGCATGGCTCATGATCAGCGCCTTTCCCACGATCCATGGCTCTCTTGCAGTGTCGCCTTCGGTACATTGAGGATTTGTGCTGCTTCTGCCCGGCGCATTGCCTCCGGTAGCATAGCCCTGTCTCACCATCAGCTTTTCTTTCTTGCCCCGTGTTCCAGATATGATGACTGACATATACAGCTTGAATCCAGGGCTCATTTATTGTGATCCAATTCTTGACTCGATCGCCAAATCTCTCATAGCAAACCCGCGAGTACCTCTCAAAGTCTTTTTGGACTTCCTCCACATTTAACCACCCACCATAGCGGTCGTGCAGCGCCTGTGGCAGGTCCCAATGGTAGAGCGTGACCCACGGTTTGATACCCCGGCGTAGCAGTGAGTCAATCAAGCGGTTGTAAAAGTCGATTCCCTGTTCATTAACTGCATCGTTTCTTCCCCCGAGCGGTATTATCCTGGACCACGCGATGGAGAACCGATACGCGCCGGCGCCATACTTGCTCAGCAGATCAAAGTCGTCCTCGAACCGGTGATAGTGATCACACGCAACGTCGCCATGGGCATTCTTGGTGCGCGAGGGTTCAAGATGGCAAAATGTGTCCCAGATACACTTTCCGCGGCCACCCTCGTTTACTGCGCCCTCGATCTGGTAGGCGGCCGTGGCAAAGCCCCATTCAAAGTCGGACGGGAGAGCAGAGGCGGTCATGGCAGCTGTCTGTGTTGCGACTTGTCGTTGTAACTAGGAAACCGTGAAGTCCTTTCAGTAACTTGCACGTACAATTGTCAAGATGATGGATGAATATATAGCGCAGACATATGGACCAAGGTTCCGAGAAGCCTAGTGTCAAGTCGGAGCGGGTCAGACTCGCGGCTCACGCGAAGGCGAAGGCATCCAGAGCTTGATTCATTTCTCCGGAATTTCGGCGTAATATAACGAGGCTTGGTTGATCATCTCGAATTTCGGACAAGATGCGCCATGGCGTTCTGCGCTCCCCAGTTCGCCGCTTCTCTAATTCTCCGATTCTCCGATCTGCCGTGCCTGGCGAACCCCGTGGGGAAGGAGAGGCGCCCGCAAAACGTGGAAAGCGCATCATCTGGGGTAAAAAAAGATCGAGACGCGAATGGCTTCCTTCCGAGTATATAGGTAGTCGCAGTGCTGCTGTCATGAAGCATGCACCACCACCCCTGCTCACAAAGTCGAGCCTCATTGTTGGGACTTGCCAGTAAGCTTCCACGTGTTCCACCTCTATTGATCCTTGGGGGATCTTTTCTCGGCAAAGCAAGGATATATAACAACGAGACCCGCACAACGTGCCCATAATCGCTGCAGGATCACGCACAGTGCATGATGGCTCCTTCAGCCGCTCGTGCCGTGGACAGCATTATACCGGTCCTCGACCTGACATCGGTGCCACCGTTTTGGCGCCGCAAGAACGGCATTCTCCTGTACTTTCTGCTCACGTCGTCGCTCCTGGCGAGTGCAGCGCTGGGTATCGATGGGGTGAGTCAACTCGTGGTTTTCTAGCTGCCAGCTGCCTGAATGACTGACTTGAGGGGTGTTTTTCAGTCCATGACGAACGGCATGCAGGTTCTGCCTACCTGGCAGGATCAATTCGGACACCCGACTGGCTCGAAGCTGGGCTTCTTCGGCGCAGCCAATGCCATCGGTGGCGTCATTCCCTTCATCTTCCTCAACTGGATCGGAGATAAAATGGGCCGTCGATTGCCTACAGCACTGGGGTCCGTCGTCATCATCACCGGCGTCTTGGTGGAGTTTTTCGCAACGTCGCTGAACATGTACATTGGCGGCAAGATTGTGCTCGGCATCGGATCATCCTTGATCCAAATGGGTGCGCCGGTTTTGGTGACCGAGTTGAGCCACCCAAAAGAACGAGTGCAAGTCACAACGTTTTACAACACATCCATTGTATTGGGCTACGTCATTGGCGCCTGGGCTACGTATGGCTGCTTTCGCATTCCTGGTTCCTGGTCGTGGCGGCTCCCGACTTTGATACAAGTCGTCCCCTCTGCCTATCAACTCTGCCTCATCTACTTTTGCCCCGAGTCGCCGCGCTGGCTCGTCGCCAAAGGACGCCCCGACGAGGCGCGCGCGATCCTCGTCAAGTACCACGGCGAATGCGATGCCAACTCCCCGCTGGTCGACTCTGAGTTCCGCGAGATACAGCAAGCGCTGGCCAGCGAACGCGAGCAAAACATGACCTGGAAGGCCTTTTTCTCGTCGACGGCCAATCAGAAGCGCATCGCACTCTGCTTCGCCACGGCCATCTTCAGTCAGAGCTCCGGCAACCTGCTCGTGTCCAACTACCTCGCGCAGATCCTCAAAGAGACGGGGCTCAAGTCGGACAAGGACATAACCCTGGTCAACGGCATGGTGACGCTGTGGCAGTACATTGTCTCCCTCGGCGTGACGGTCATGATTGACAAGTTCAAGCGGCGCACCTTTTTCGTCGTCGGCTCCGGCGGCGTCGTCGTGACCTTTGTCGTCTGGACCGTGGCCGCGCAGCAGTACCTGGCGCACAACTCGCTCGCGGCCGGCCGTCTTGTGCTGGCCTGCATCTTTGTCTTCCAAGCATTCTACACCTTTGCGTGGACGAACCTGGTGGTGACGTATCCGCTAGAGATTGTAACGTATCAGATGCGCGCCAAGACATGGGCGTTTGTGCTGCTGACGATCCAGGTCGCCTCCATCTTTGGTGGCTACGTGAACCCGATTGCGCTGCAGAACATTGGGTGGAAGTTTTATATTTACTACTGTGTCTGGGTCACCATCATCTTCCTGGTGGTGTACTTCTTCTTCGTCGAGACGGCGGGCCCGACGCTGGAGGAGCTGGCCAACCTGTTCGAGGGCGACGGCGCCAGGAGGGAATTCGCCGAGAAGGCTGCCAAGGTGGATAGGGAGGACGCCATGGCGGAGGAAAAGGTGGCGGTTTAGCGAGCTATAAGTATAAAGGTGGAATCCTCGTGGCGCGTTGCTTTGACAAACGAGGCATTATTCCCGCGTTATTGTGCCATTCTTGTCTTGGAATCTTGACTTGGTTGGCATCGTCTTGGCCAAGGCGGCAGCAGCCGGACCATTAGTGTACGACTCATCCAAACGTTATCCCCGAACCAAGAAGACTTATGGCGCTCAAGTCGATTACCATGGCAAATCTGCGTCGACAATCGCCTGTTCAACTCAACCTACCTGAGCAACCCCCACCCAGTACAAAGTTCAAGTGTTGCAGAACGAAATAGTATGACACTAGCGACACGGCAATTGACTCAAAGGCGGCCCTTTTCATTTACTCACTTGATCGGCTACTGAAGCCTCCACCTGTCATGGGGCATGGGCATCCCAATCGTCCGTGTCGCCCACTCGCCAGGACGGAACCATTCGTAGCAAGTTAAAGCTGCTGCCTAGTTAGTGGAAACATGTGTTCTAGCGTGTGCATTGCCCTCGACGATTGTGGAGGCGCTTGGCCAAGAACTTCATCGAATTTCAGCCACCCGGGCCGACAAGTGGATGGCCACTGATCGCCCGCCGAATGAAAGCCCCGGCTCGGCCGATGTGGCGCTGGCCAACCGCCACTACTGCAAGCCCCAGCCGGAGACACCAGCGAGGATAGTATTTGCCTTTTCAAATGCCGCGAGACTACCGGACCCAGAATGCAGTCCGCATTCTCCCCGGGTTATTGAATGGATGAAATAATCACTCCCCGCAGATGGTGATGGCCCCAGACATGCACCGTGTGGCTCCCCAGGATGCGGCATGTTGTCGAGGCCATTCTGAGCAAAGCGCCGGTCCGCTCATGCTACCTGTATAAATGCAACCCTACCACCCCCCCATCTAGTACAAAAGTCGTTGTCTGACCGCAATCCCCTCCCCCCTTCCTCGCCAAAATCTTGTTTCCTTTGCATTGCACTGGCGTGCCTGCATTTCTCGCCCTGCCCATCATGGCTACAGACAGAAAGTCGTCCTCCATCGACGGCACCGACATGGAGAAGCCACACGTGGACGCGCTCGAAAAGGTCCGCCGCGACGGCGGTGGTGCCAGCACCGCCGAGGTAGACGACTTCATCGCGGACATGGAGCACGAGCTGGAAGCCGCCGGCGGCCTGAAGACGGGCTTCTTCCAGGTGCAGTTTGCCAACCCCAAGCACTTCACCTGGCTCTTGGTGGCCTTTGCCAGCATGGGCGGTCTCCTCTCCGGGCTGGACCAGAGCCTCATCTCCGGCGCCAACCTGTACCTGCCGCGGGACTTGGGCCTCTCGGAGCGCCAGAACAGCCTGGTCAACGCGGGGATGCCTCTCGGCGCCGTTGGTGGCGCGCTCATCCTGTCGCCCACCAACGAGTACTTTGGCCGCAAATGGGCCATTCTCATCTCCATCATGCTCTATACCGTCGGTGCCGCGCTCGAGGCTGGTTCGATCAACTTTGGTATGTATCAATGTACCGCTGATACATCATTTTTCTAACCATCCATCCAGGCATGATGGTTGCCGGTCGAGTTGTTCTCGGCATGGGTGTCGGTCTCGAGGGTGGTACCGTGCCCGTCTATGTCGCCGAAACAGTCGAGCGCCGAATTCGCGGCAACCTGGTCTCCTTGTACCAATTCAACATTGCGCTCGGCGAGGTTTTGGGCTATGCAGTGGCTGCCATGTTCCTCAAGGTCCCCGGCAATTGGCGATATATCCTCGGCTCGTCCCTGGTGTTCTCGACCATCATGTTCTTTGGGTGAGATTTCGACTCGTTGGACTGATTCAGTGACACTTTGTACTGACCATGTGAAGCATGCTATTTCTCCCTGAAAGCCCCCGATACCTCATGCATAAAGGCAAGAAGCTGGAGGCGTTCAAGGTCTGGAAGCGGATCCGCGGTGTCGCCGGGGCAGAGTCCAAGGAAGAGTTTTACATCATGGCAAGCTCTGTGCAGGAAGAGGAGACTGTCGTTCAAGAGGGCGCCAAGAACAAGAATTATCCCTGGATGGACTTTCTCACGTACGTGTTTTTCCTTGCTGCTGGTGGCGTGGAAGTGTCTAACAAACCCTGGCACAGTGTCCCTCGTGCGCGACGTGCGCTCGTGTACGCCAACATCATGATCGTGCTCGGACAGGCGACGGGCGTCAACGCAATCATGTATTACATGTCTGTTTTGATGAACACGATCGGCTTCAACGCCGACGATGCAAACTACATGTCTCTAGTCGGTGGCGGGTCGCTGCTGCTGGGCACCATTCCCGCCATTTTCCTGATGGAGACTTGCGGACGCCGTTTCTGGGCCATCATGATGCTTCCGGGCTTCTTCATCGGTCTCGTCCTCATTGGTGTTGCCAACCTTTTCGACCCGCACACGAATCTGAAAGCGGCCGAAGGCATCTACCTCACCGGTCTCATCATCTACATGGGCTTTTTCGGCTCGTATGCCTGTTTGACATGGGGTATGTTGTCAGCAAACCATCTGCACGAGGCGTTGGGCCTGGGGGGGCAAGACATGCTAACAGTTTCCAATAGTCATCCCGTCCGAGGTCTATCCCACCTACCTGCGAAGTTACGGCATGACGACATCCAGCGCTCTCCTTTTCCTGGTTTCCTTCATCGTCACCTACAACTTTAGCGCGATGAGGGACGCCATGACCCCCACGGGTCTCATGCTCGGTTTCTATGGTGGCATCGCCGTCATCGGTGAGGTCTATCAGATTCTCTTCATGCCCGAGACCAAGAACAAGACATTGGAGGAAATCGATCTCGTCTTTTCTCGACCGACAATGGATATTGTGCGCGAGAACTGGCAGGGTGTCAAGGAGACGATGGGTGACGCGTGTAGGGGCAGATTCCGCAAGATTCTCGCGGAGCAAACAAAGAAGCCCAAATCAGAGGATGGCCCGATCGCGTAGAGGGGTGTTTTTTTGGCGGAGATGACGAAGGCTGCTATTTTGACAACAAGAATTGATCAAATGACAATAAGCTAAACCTAATTGGTATAGACCCACGTAGCCACTCCACCAAAGTTTTGTAGGGGATAGTACCAGCGTTAATTCTTAACGAGTATTGATTGCATCTCTTAAGGCTGCCACAATGGCTGGAATTGATAAATTCGCTATGATGAAGCTGGCGGCTAGAAATGATAGTTGATAATTAACGCTGCCGGCGGCGGCGTTGATTGTTGACTCGTTAAGGCGTCGTTCTAGCCCCTGAATTTGCGATAATAGTATCGCCCGTATCGCCCGTATCGCCCGTATCGCCCGTATCGCCTGTATCGCCTGTATCGTTTGTATCGTCTAAATCGCTGATCTCTGCATCGCTGGCTAAGAGGCTGCCTGGTGCCTACCTTGCGGCGCTCTTAAGGCTGTTGAGGGAGGTGTTGAGGGTATTGATGGCAGGAAAACAGGAAGAGGCCATCACGAGAGTTAATAGTGGTTGTTGGCAGTCCTGCTCTCTGATTGGTGACTAGTGTCGCGCTAGTTAGCGTTGGTATCCACTACGACCTATAAATACCTAATTGGGTTTAGCCTGTTGTCATTTGATCAATTCTTATTGTTAAAATAGCAGCCTTCGGAGATGACTCTATGAAGTGTTTGTGCCGTAGTAGTCATTTGAATGGAATACCCTCCGATATACCATTTCACAAGTGATGTGTGACTTGTTGGGCGGTTTTCACATGCAGGCAGGCTCGTCGCGTTGCCATGCCATCTCGGCAGCCATTGTTACACGTCTACCTACCCATGTGTACAAGGTGACAAGTATCGCAAGCGCTTGGTGAGCGGCTGCAAGAATATGAGCATGGGCATGACAAAGGACGAGGCTTGAGAAGATTCCGCGAGTTTTCTCCGACCGACATTTTACAGTCAAGCTGTGTATTGGTCATGTTTGGAAGGTGGAAGGTGGCCCCTGAACGCTGGATGAAGCTTCGTTTGCAGCAGTGTAGGGTAGGGTATTATTGCAGCAAATTACAGTATTGAGCATGACAAGATCGACAAGAAAAGCTGACGCACGTCGGACATTTGCCCCGCATCGGTAAGAAGGGTTGTACTCGGTACTATGCTTCAGTGTTTGCTCGTGTAGCGCTCACATGCAAATAGTGAGGCTGAAGAGTTGGCTGGGGCCGTCAGTTGTGATGCTGAATCTGTGACACAGCACATGCCAGCAGACAGCACATGTCAGCGGACAGCCCATGCCCCCAAAAGTCGACATGACATGACGAAAAGTGTAGATTATGAATTACAGAGATTATAAAATTATAGAGAGATTGATTTTATACTCTCTATTCTCTACGTGTTTGCTCTAGCCGCTCTATCGTATTTTATCTAGTCACAATTATCCGCGCCTTTCTTGCATCTATTGTAGTAAGCCGCAAAGTGTGGTGGACAAAAAAGTCAAGGCCCACCAGAGGAAAGAGGACATAGAATTGGAAATGTTCTAGATGGCTGTTTCTCTTTGAGCCAATTTTTTGAGCGCCTCTCCCGTTAGTGGAATGGTTGTACCTTAGTACCTCTATTAACACAGGTAGCGATGGGTGCCTGATGATAGCGTGGCAGCGGCCCGGCCTCGTTAGTGGCTCCACAGTCGCGCCGTGGCCAGGGTTCAGTCGGAGGATGGATGATGAGGCCATACCGTAGCGAGGCCATACCGTAGCCTCTGTTGGAGGCGTTTTATTCAGGCTCAGTAACTCCGTATCAATCGGTCGGTAGTATTGCTCGGGTCAGTTTAGAGGAGGGCCAGCAAGTCAGGCGGCGCGGGAGCGGAGCGTAGGTAGCCACAGGGCCACTGGTACAGCGTCCGCTTAGTGGCCTTTTTCAGTGTGTGTGTGGGTGCTGTACGTACAATGCTCCGTACCTTAGTAGTGCTCCGTTTGTTTCAGTGCCTGATGAATGGTTAGCACTCATTGGGCAGCTAACTATTCCTGGTCAGTGTGCCCTGTGAACAAGGCCACCAACCATTAGCTACCGTTAACTATTTAAGACGAGTAAAAAGTAAAAAGCGTAAAAGCACATGCAAAGCGACTGGTCCAAAGTGCGACAGACAGCACAGACCCGGGAGCGGCCGTTATCAGCCGGTGCGTTATAAGCATCACATGATGGACCAGCACCGGCACTAAGGCTTTGCACGTTTCACGCGGGGGACAAGAAATAAATGGCAAATCAGCGGTTCCTCCCGCCACCCAAATGTACATTCCGTCCGTATTGGAGGTGCCTAGTTACGTACGCCACTGGAGGCTAGTCTACGTAACAAAAGTCGCGGGGGGCACTTGTAGTACATGTTCTGGGCAGGTGATGATGCGACCAGCCTCGGTCACTCGTCTTGCAGAGGTTCATAAGAAGAAAGGCTCTTGCAAAAAAGGAGAAGAAAAATACAATGGTCGACTTGCCCCCGTCTTTGTCCATCTCTACACTAATACTCGGTACTTGTTCATAAAGGACGCTTGTTTCTCCTCGACCTGTCGGTACACCTTGACCCCCCATGCCCTATGCCCTATGGTACATAACCAGCGACATCGGCTACAATTCCCTTTGCTGCAAGCCACGCGAGCCCGTCCTTGGCTGTTGCGTCGCTCTACGGAGTAATAATCGTCTGTATTCTGGAGACGAGTTCGCATGCAGCCGAGCAGTCCCCTTTTCGGATGCCCAACGAAGACTCGGATCAGCACATCTGGCCGCGAGCTGGACTGCACGCTACTGCGTCCTTGAATACCTCTAGGTACCTAGGTACCTACCTACTGAGGTAGTTACCGAACCAGAGACCCTTGAAGCCGAAGCCAACGTCAAATCGACAAAGGACACAAAAGGCATTGCGAAAGACAAACGCCCAACCCCACGTCCTCGACGCACAGCCTGCCACACATTGTACAAGACTCCGTATTACGGCATCATCTGACCAAGCATTCTCTTGCTTCCAAAGCCCTCGACTCTGCATGAACCGACACAGAACCTGTCAGCCAACCGAGTCGCAGCACACTTTCCGCTTCCGCTTTACTTATTCGTTCCTTAGTTACCAATTCATCGTTTTCCATTGTCCATACCGCCAGTCTTGGTCTTTGATAGTCGACATACCCCCCGACCCAGGCACCGCCCCCCTCTCCTCTCTTCAAGCCACCACACGACCGGCTAGTTCACTAGGTAGGCAGCTATTCCTTTGCTAGCTGTCGAGTCTCCCCCACGCGCGCGCATCTGCTGCATCGGCTTGCTGCGGCCAGCACATACCTTACCCACTCCAACCACTACCAATAGACAGCGACTGACTACCAACGAAGTTACTAGTTAACTAAATTGTTCCGTCGCTCTGGGTGCCCGCTTGGCGTTTCCCCCCCGTGCCTCGTCTCTCACCGCCGACTTATTGAGGAACAAGGTCCACAGTTGAGCCTGTCCCCGTCCCAACACCACCCTGGCCGAACCTCGTGGGTGAACCCGGCACGGCACAAAAAAATAATAACTACCTGCGGCGTCTTGTTTCAATAATAATACTGCACGCCCACCTGCCACCTGCCTACCTTTGTTGTTGTTGTTGGACCATCTTACCCTTTACCCCCCCCAGCCCTGGATCACTGCACCTTTCCCCGTTGCTGAGGCAGAGAGTGAGTGTCCTTTGATCCTGGAACGTCGGGGGTGTACAGACCGCCAAATCGCTTTGAATGCTCATTCTCCGTCATCTCGCTTCAACAGGCCAGGGTTTCCTGCAGTCATTGGTCATTACGACGACACTTTCCCCTGGATCGGCAGGCATTCGCACCAACTATTATCATCACCTCCTCCTTATATATACTCTTGCCTTCCCCCCCCTCCCACAATCCGCATTTCTTCTTCGCCGTCTTGCCAATTCTCCTTCGCCTCGGACACCCCTCCCCGCTTTATAAAGCTGCGCCTCAAAACCTTGTAACACGCCCGCCGCCCTATCCTCCTCCTCTCCGCACCAACAAGAGGCTCCCAACATGAGCCGGCACCACTGCGCCAGCCCGGCCCTGTCGGACACAACCTACTACAGCTTCAACGACATTGAGCTCGTCGAGCCGCCGGAGCCCGTCGACTGCTACGCCCAGCAGCGACTGCAGCACAAGCGCGACTTTGACCCGTTTGAGGCTTCCAAGATGCAGCGCCAAGACTCCGGGTACGAGTCCTACGAGCCGTCCTCGCCGCGCCGCACGTCCATGTCCAACGCCAGCAGCCGGCCGCCGTCGGGCAGCACCGTCACGCGGCGCAACTCGTCGTCGGCGGCGTCCGCCAACCCCCCGCGCCTGCGCTCGTCGCGGCCGTCCACCCGGCGCTCGTACAATACATATACCGGCGGCAACCACCACCACCACCACCACCACCTCCACCAGCAAGCACCGCCGTACGCGGTCCGGTCGTACTCGCAGTCGCAGCCGCCGGGCTTTGTGCAGTTTCCGACGCTCGACCTCATCGAGCTGGCGGAGCCGCCGGCGGCGGCGGCCGACGACGACGCCGCCCTGATGGCGCCGGAGCTGCCCCAGACGACGCACTACTGGACGAGCGACAGCACGCGCCGTCTCGAGTATGCTGCCATCGACGCCGCCGGCCGCGGCGTCAAGGGCTGGGTCCGCAAGCACCTAGTCCCCGACTGCCTGGTCTCGGACCAGAAGCACCTGGCCTTTGACGACGACACGGGCAGCGTCCGCAGATATCGCCTGCATCTGGAAGAGGACCACGGGGAGAAGCATCGCCAGGACGACCAGGCGGCGCGACGCAGCAGGAGCTGGCGCTTCTGGCGTGAGTAGCCGTCTGCGTTTCTGTTTTGGCGTTTTTTGTTCCTTTCTGCTTTCGGGACGACAGGGTCTAGGTCATCTTCTCTTTCCTCGGGCTTGACGGTACGCATGTTTTAATGAATCCTTTTTTGATTTCCTTTGTTCTTCTTCGACACAACAGCGGTGGGGCATACTCGGCGTTTTATATACCCTTTGGCATGTGCACAGCACTGCCAATATCATCACAGAGAATGAGGGGACTCTTGCATACTGGGCTACATCATAAGAGAAATTGCATACGACTTGAACGGCATTTTGGCAATATCAGCATTTTTAGCATATCGCACGATACAAACTATACGATCAACTTATTTTTATCTAAATACAAAGACGAAATTATAAACCGAAAATATCGAGGCTCTTAAGAGTCATTGTGTTTTTCATATTATTATCGCGCTTTTTCAGTGGTCTGATTAAATGTCTCCCTGCATTCATTGGGCGTGGACACTGTAACAGACAGCGACATGATGCATGTCTCATGTCGACAGGATCGAGGCTGCGTTGGCAGTTTTATTGGCCACAGGGATGGTCATCAGGTCGCGGACCCCCAGAAAAGGACTCTGCAGCCGGAGTCCAGTGCTCAACACTCGGTGGGGGATCCCACAGCGCTGCCTGGATCGGAGGGACTGGTACCCGCGGAAACACGCTTTCGTCCCGATCACCGGAGGTTAGGAAGCCCACCGGAGCCCACCGGCCGAATGGCCCCACTCTTTGGCGGCTCCGGGTAAGGCTTCCTGCTTTCTTCATCAACCAGCTGGAGATTCGTCATCACGCCGGCGCGCATGATCCCTCAGCCATCATCAAGTTTTATGCGTAGCGGGATATTGCTATTCTTATGCGGGCACCCTGCAGAGGTTGGGCAATTGGTGACAAACTTGATGCATCAGTTCCCTACTTGATGGAACCGCTCGGCTTGGCCAATACTGACCGCACTACGTTACCAAAATCGATTGAGACCTAAGTAACTACCTAGCTACATACCTGAGTGTGTTAGTATCGAATACCTGCGCAGTACGTTTAACGCCGCGTGATGGACGGGTCAGTTGAGGAAAGATGATGATCCGCCTGCTCCAGGCCTCAATGTAATGCTTTTCGAAAGGCCCGAAAGAATTGAAACAAATTGAAAAAATATATTCAAGTGAATTCTAAAAAATAACCCTCCGGCTTTCTCTCCAATTATTCATTGTTGTACACTCTGTCCTGCGCCGTCCAAAATTGCTGACATAATGCGCCCCTGGTTCCTGAACAACGCGCTAGAGCCTCCTTACACGTTCTCCCTCACGAGAAGCTTGTCACCAACCTTCAAATCAACCCGCCTCCATTTGTCTGCGTCCTCCCACCAACTACAGTCTTTCCCTTGCACCCAGCATCTGCCAATCATGACGCGCGCACAGCAGACTATTTCCTTTGGCCTCTTGGTCTCTTCCGTACGTCTTTCCCATCCCGCATGCGACCCCCCCTCGCCGGGAGCGCGCCACGTCCGTGGTTAATTGTGACTGAACATGTTGCCAAATAGCTTTACCTCGCCCTCTACCTCGAGCTCGTTCCTCTTCCCGCTCTGGTCCAGGAGCAAATCGTCCCCGTCGTAAGCAAACGCTCCTCCAAAGTCCTCACCGAACCGGGCGGCACCAACTGACGCGCGCAACAAACACGCACACACAGCTTCCCTTTTGGGCTCTCGTCTCCTTTGGCGCGCTGCTCCTCTTCCGTCTCGGCTTCGGCGTCTTCACCTTCAACAATGTCCCCGACGCGCACAAGGAGCTGATGCAGGAGATTGACCTGGCCAAGGTTGACCTCCGCAAGCTCGGCGTCGACGTCGACTAAGATACCACACACTACGACTTTTGTGCAGAAAATAGTGCCCCGCGCACAGGCAGGAAGCGAAGAAAGAAGAACCTGAAGCCGCCCTTTTCGGACAGAGCACATTGTGTCTTTCATTGCTGGGGAACGAGGGTACGAGGGGAAGAGAGAAAACAGAAGGAGGAATACGGACGCATCACAAAAACCAGTCATATTACGGTACTAATGATGGGATTAAGCGAATGGTCGCTGGGATTTGTTGGTTTCTTTGAACAAGACTGGCTGCGATAACCAGACTCGCCCTCGAATGATTAATTTTGGCTTGGCTTTTTACTGAGCCAAGAGAAGAAGCCGACCTAATAAGGTGGTAAACTTGCTACCCAAGTATGAGTTGAACAAAAAAAAAATGTCAAAAAAGCCCAAACAGATGTATATGCGCCCGTCGCTCATGTCATTGTCTCGTGTTGTGCATGCATCCCAGTATCAATATCTCCCTTAAACAGCGGCGTCGACCAACAGGGCAGCGACCTTGCGCGCGGCGACATCAATGTCCTCGCCTCCGTTCACCAAGTCTTGGAACAGGCGGCTTAGCTTGCCCAAGCTGCCGCGACGATCGGCTCTCCTCCCTATCGATATCTCATTAGCGCCACCGTTCGTAGGAAACGACGGGGTTGTACATGGTGTGAGCAAAGACTTACACTTTCCCGGCACGCCGTCCAGCACGGCGAGCTTGCTCTCGGCCTCTCCCGTCCAGTCGAAGCCAATCTTCCATTCCAGCCGCATGTGCGCGTCATCTCTGCGGCTCCCTCCCGACTCAATCGGAATGTCGTAGGCCTGCTTGCCCATCAAGTACCTCAGATCCGCGCTCCTGAGCACGACCCTGTCCCGCGGCGGAGCCGCCGCCGCCGTCTTGTCGCTGCTCTGCTCGGCCTGCCGACGCATCGCGGCGGCGGCCTGCGCCGGCCCGCCCTTG